ACACATGGACATCACCTGGTGGTCAATATACAAACCAGACTGATTATGTACTTTGTGGCCAAAGGTGGAGAAGCCCTATGCACTCAGTTAAAAGGAGACCTGGAGCTGGCTGTGGCTCAGATCATGAGCTTCTTATTGCAAAATTCAGACTTAAACTGAAGAAAGTAGGAAAAACCATGAGATAATACAGGAATGACCTAAATAACATCCGTAATGAATATGAAGTGGAGGTGATGACGAGATTTAGGGATTAGATCTGGTGGACTGAGAGCCTGAAGAACTACAGACAGAGGTTCGTGATACTGTACTAGAGGCAGCAACAAAAAGCATCCCAAAGAAAAGGAGAGCAAGGAAGCAACATGGCGTCTGATGAGGCTTTAAAATAACTGAGGAAAGAAGGAAAGGGAAAGGGAAACGTATACCCAACTGAATGCAGAATTCCAGAGAACTACAAGGAAAGACAAGAAGGTTTTCTTAAATGAGCAATACAAAGAAATAGAAGAAAGCAAGAGAATGGGAAAGAAAAAAATCTCTTCAAGAAAATTAGACATCAAGGGGAGCATTTCATGAAAAAAATGGGAACGATAAAAGGCAAAAAATGGTAGGGACTTGAGAGAAGTAGAAGAGATTAAAAAGAGGTGGCAATAATATACAAAAAATTATATGAGAAAGATCTTAACGTCACTGATAACCACAGTGGTGTGGTTACTGATCTAGAGCCAGACATTGTGGAGAATGAAGTCAAGTGGGTCTTAGAAAGCATTACTAACAATAAGGCCAGTGGAGGTGATGGAATTCCAGCTGAGCTATTTCCATCCTAGAAGATGATGCTGTTAAAGTGCTGCACTCAATATGCCAGCAAATTTTGAAAACTCAATGGTGGTCACTCGATTGGAAAAGATCAGTTTACATCTCAACCCTAAAGAAAGGCAATGCCAAGGAATGTTCAAATTACCCAACAATTGTGATCATTTCACATGCCAGCAAAGTTATGCATAGGATTCTGCAAGCTCAGCTTTAGCAATATGTGAACTGAAAATTACAGAGGAATGGGCTAGTTTTTGAAGAGGCAGAGGAACTAGACACCAAATTGTCCACATTCACTGGCTTATTGAGAAAGCAAGAGAGTTCCAGAAAAACAACTCCTTCTGCTTCATTGACTACACGAAAGTCTTTGATGTGCGGAACATAACAAAATAGGGCTAGTCCTCAAAGACCATTTTACCTGTCTTCTGAGGAACCTGCATGTGGACCAAGAAGCAACAGTTAGAACCAAAAATGCCACAAACTGATTGGTTTAATATTGGAAAAAGAGGGGGCAGCTAGGTGGTGCAGTGGATAGAGCACTAGCCCTGAACTCAGGAGGACCTGAGTTCAAATCCAGCCTCAGACACATAACACTTACTAGCTGTGTGACCCTGGGCAAGTCACTTAATCCTGATTGCCTCAGCAAATAAAATAAAATAAAAATATATATATATATACTATATATATATATATATGCATATATATATATATATATATATATGTGAAAAGGCATACAACAAGGCCATGTACTGTCACTTTATATATTTAACTTGTATGCAGACTATATTGCAAGAAATGCCAGGCTGGATAAATCAAAAGCCAGAATTAAGGTTGCCAGGAAAAATATCAACAGTCTCAGATATTGAGATGCTACCTCGCTGAAGGCAAAAAATAAAGAAGAATTAAGAAGCTTCTTGATGAGGGTGAAAGAGGAGAGTGTCAAAGCTGGCTTGAAGCTTAACTTAAAAAGAGAAAAAATAAGACAAAAAACTAAGATCTTGGCAACTGGTCCCATCACTTCCTAGCAAACAGAGGGAGAAGAAATGGAACCACTGTCAGATTTTGTATTTTTGGGCTCAAAGATCACCACAGCCAGTGACTGCAGCCATGAAATTAAAAGACACTTGCTCCTTGGAAAGAAAGCTATGGCAAATCTGGACAGTAGACTAAAAAGCAGACATCATCTTGCTGACAAAGGTCCATACAGTTAAAGCTATGGTTTTTCCAGTAGTAATGTATAGATGTGAGAGTTGGATTATAAGGAAAGCTGAGCACTTAAGAGTCAATGCTTTTGAATTGTGATGCTGGAGAAGACTTTTGAGCATCCCTTGGATGGCAAGGAGATCAAATCAGTCAATACTTTAAGAAAATAATTCAGACTATTTACTGGAAGGTCAAATGCTAAAGCTGAAACTTAATACTTTGGTCACATAATGAAAAGATGAGACTCACTGGATAAGATCCTGACATCGGGAAAGATTGAAGGCAAAAGGAAAATGAGATGGCAGAAGATGAGATGGACAGTGTCATGGAAGCAATGAACATGAGCTTGGGCAGACTTTGGAGATAGTGGAGGACAGAAGAGCCTGGTGTGCTGTGGTCCATGGGGTCACCAAGAGTCAGACAAGACTAAATAGTGGAACAACAACAGAGGTACCACTTCACACCTATCAGAAATGACAAATGTTGGAGGTGAGGTGGGAAAACTGGGACATCAATGCACTCTTGGTGGATCCAACCATTCTGGAGAGCAATTTGGAACTATGCCCAAAGGGCTTTCAAACTACAGGTACCCTTTGACCGGGAAATACCACTACTGGGTCCATATCCCAAAGAGATCAAAGAAAAGGAAAAAGGGCTTCTTTGTGCAAAAATATTTGATAGCAGTTCCTTTTTGTGGTGGCAAAGAAGTGGAAACTAAGGAGATGCCCATCAATTGGGGGATGGCTGAACAAACTGTGGTATATGATTGTCATATGTTGTGCTATAACAAATGACAAGCAGGATGGCTTTAGAAAAACCTGGAAAGACTTACAGGAACTGATGCAAAGTGAAGTGTGCAGAACCAGGTGAACGTTGTACACAGTAACAGCAATATTGTACAATGATCAACTGTGAAGGACTCAGCTTTTCTCAGCATTACAATGATCTAAGATAATTCTAAAGGACTTAAGATGAAAAATGCTATCCACCTCCAGAGGAAGAATTGACGCAGTCTAAATGTAGATTCAAGCAAACTTTTAAAAACTTTCTTTATTTTTCTTGGGTTTTTTTTTTGGTCTGTGGTTTTTAATTTTTTTTTTTTGTAACATGGCTAATATGGAAATATGTTTTGCATTGTTACAAATGTATAACCTATATCAAATTGCTTGCCCTCTCAATGATGGGTCAGGGGAGGGAGCAGAAGAGAGAATTTGGAACTCAAAATTCTAAAAAAAAGTATGTTAAAATTTTTTTTTATGTGTAATTGGAAAAAACAAAAAAATAAAAATTTTAATGATTTTTAAAAACTACAAAAAAGAACTGAGCACATGAAATATTGCATGTTTTATCACAAGTTTTTTTTTTAAAATATGTTGGCTTCATGGAACTTTCCCCCTTTTTCTTTTCTTTCTTTGTAAAAATTCATCATTATAAAGGATTGCTCTCTGGGAGTAGGGAGGAGTACAGTGGGAAATATGAAGGATATAAAAACAAGAACTATCAATAAAAACGTATTTTGACCAGAAGGTGCTCAAGAGAACACTAATAACTACTTTCTCACTGAAGAAAATCTCTATGTGAGATCTATAAGTGTACAGAGAATATTCCAGCTGAAAATGTGAGAACAGGCAGTCTTTGCACTTCTTTAAAACAGCAGAACGAGTTTTCATAGCTTTTGCAAATACGTTAAGATTATATTTCTTGATTGATGCCACCGCAGAGATGGGGACTGTTCAACAGCTCTGTGGTTATGACCATCAAGCAGGGAGCCATATGCGCTCCTGATCTGTCCGCGTCTGCCACCAAGTTTGTCCCGTATAGAGCCCGTGGGAAGGCATTCCCTGTGGATGAGGAGATAGGAGCCCCTCAGCGAGCATCACGGCACATCAGGACGGATTAGCCCAGCAGTCCGCACCGGACAGTCGGTGGATGAAGAATGCCTCTTGTCCAGATTCTCCCATGTAGCAAACGGATCCCCAGAGCGGTCCCTCAGGACACACATCTGGTACAAATAGTGGATGATGGTGGACGATGCCACCTAGTGGACAACAAGGAGCGGTACAGGCAGGGATTCAGAATGTCCAGGACGGCGCTGATCTCAGCCTGGGGGGAGGGCTTTTGTAAGCACGGCAGCTCCCCATCCCTGGCCCTGGGCTGTTCAGCTTCCCCCATTTCCCCCTATCTATGGCTTAGATATTGAAAATGCAGATGATGAGAAGCTGGGTGGGGTAACTGAGAAGCTTTGGGAAGCTCCAGCATCCCCCCAGAGGGGAATTATCAGCTGAAGTCCATGAGGTTTCTCCCTGCTCAGCAGCTCAGAGAGGTAGGGAGGCTGGGCCCAGCAGGTGCTGGGCGAGGGCTCAGGCTGCTGAGGCCGCTGACACCCTGGAGGAGGCGGGGAGGCCCCTGCAGAAGGCGGGATCTGAGGAAGCGGATGTGGAGGTGAAGGCCATCCAGCCATGGTAGTGGAGATATGGGAGCAGCCTGGAGGCCAGGCTAGCGGGATCCCAGAGGGGACAGAGGGGCCTAAAGGCTGGAGAGGGAGGAGGGGCCAGGCCAGGGAGGGCTTCGATGCCCAAGAGGAGATTTTGTACTTGACCCTGGGGGTGATAGGGAGCCCCTGGAGGTTATTTACTAGGGGTGGGACTCATGTACTCAGACTCGAAGCTGGGAGATGACAGTAGACATGTGGGTTGTCAAAACTGGGATCCCAAAACGAGCAGCTCCGTGGTACAGTGGGTGGAGCACTGGCCTGGGAATCAGGAAGACCCGAGTTCAAATCTTAACTCAGTGCTTCTGTGCTGTGTGGCTCCAGGTTCTGTTAACCTCAGTTTCTCATCTGTGCAGTGGGGATAGTAATAGCCCCGGCCACCCCAGGTTGTAAAGGGCTGTGCAAACCTGAAGAAGCCACACAAATGCATCTATTCTGATGATTCCTGTTACTATTACTCCAGTGGATGGGGTTTCTGGAGGCCCAGCTCTGCGCTCACCTGGGGAGGAGTTGTTCAGCCCCATCATCTCGTTGGCCTCCTCGATCTTCTCCAGACACATGGCTTCTTCTTTCTTCAGGATGCAGTCGGAGATGGCAGCAGCCTGTGAAGGAGTGGAGGGAGAGGACAGAGGCCATCCATCACTCAGTCAGTCTGCAAACCCTAGTGGGGGTGGGGCGGAGGCAGAGACCTGGCCTGAGACGAGCAGAAGCCCCTCAGGAAGCCTTCTGGCAGCAGCAGCAGGGATGGAGGGAGACAGAGCAAGGTGGGAAGCAGGCTGGCTGGCTGGGGAAGGTGAGGCCTTCATGCCCATCCTTACACCAGGCATTACCATCATTTTCTCAGAGCCTGGGGTCAGCAGCCTGGGCACACAGGCCCCCATCTTTGCTCTGACCCTGCTGCTGCTCCTGCCCTCGGCCCCAGGACGATGATCTGGCCCGGGCTGCAGCACCCCTGGCCATCCCATCCTCCTCCCAGCCACAGGAGCTGCGCCAGGGACCTGGCACCCCCTCACCCTGTTTTCACATGTTGCCAACCTCAGCGCTTGGGAACAGGAATTGCCCTGGAGTCAGGTGGGGGCTGCCAGGTCAGCCTCAGTGAGGGGGCCTCAGGCCCAGGGCCCACAGGCTCCATGGCCAAACTCAGGTGCTTCCTCCTACATGAAGTCTTCCTGGATTACTGAGTGTGAGTGAGCCCTTCTGGTAGCCCTGAGGGCATCGTGAAGTCAGCCTTGGGCCCCAAGGAGGCCCATATGTGCCCATCTTTGCACTGCTGCCTCACCTCAGGTTCTGTTTTATCGGGTGCTTGAAAGAAGGAATGAAGGCATGAATGAATGGTGCCCACTTTAGGGTGGATGGGAGGATGCTTTTGGGGAAATCTGCCATTAAAAGCCACAGAGGCAGCAGATCTGATTCTACTCTCATCTCTGGCACCAGTTCACCATGTGACCTGGATCAAGGCACTTAGTCTGGTCAGACCTTAGTTTGTCCACCTGTAAAATAGCTCCACAAGACTTGGTGTGGGAGAGGACAGGACTGAGAGGCCGCCTATCCATGGATCCCAGCTCTAGAGCCAGCAGGGCCTCTGATGTCATCCAGGACAGTCCTGCCCAGGGTCACTGAGGTAGTAAGGGACTGGCCTCAGGTGGGGGCCCAGGCTCTCCCCCTCTCCCTTCCCCACCTTCGTATCTGGCTGTAGCACAGGGTGGGAAAGTCTCCAGGTTAGCTCACTCATCCCTCATCGCTGCAGTGTCCACCTGGGCTCTCTCATTCACTGCTCGGCCTCCCTACAAGGCAGCCCACTACCCAAAGGGGGAAGCTGCACCCCCGAGGGGGAAGGGATTTTCAAAGAAGCCCACCCAACAGGGCTCCCGGGGACCATGAGACTGTTTCCTTTTCCGCCAGCCTCGATGTGGTCCCAGGCAGTGGGTGGCTGGTAGGGTGGCTTGGGCCAGGGTGGGCAGGGCCAAATGCCTGGCGGGGAGAGGTGGGCTAGGCTGTGGTTCTGGGCACTACTCCCACGGCCTGATCTGCCTTCCTAATGAGGCCTATTCAGGACCTCTCAGAGGCTAATCACCTCAGCAGGGCTGGGGACTTTCCCAGGGACCAAGAGACGCCAGGCCTTGGGGGGTTCCCATGGTGTCTGGGAAGCCACACTATCCCCAACTCTCAGCCTTCTTTGGAGACAGAAGTAGCTTACTGCTGGAGTTCTGTTGTGGAGGAGGGGAGGACAGAGAGATGATAGGAGAGAGAGATTGAGAGGAGGAGAAGAGGGGGAGTGGGGGAAATGGAGAGAAATGAGGAGGAGGGGGAGAAATTGGGAGGAGGAGGACAGGGGGGATGGGAAATGGGGAAGGGGTCCTTGGGGGGCCCTGGTGAATGTGTGGAACCTCAGGGGAAGGAGGGCACCTGGGGCCTGACCTCCCGCTCCCATCTGGCTCTTAATCTACTCTCCATCCGGGGGGCAGGGTGTGTCTGATACAAATCAAATCTGATACAATCAAAGATAAAGTCCAGGAGGGGCAGAACAAGGATGACTCTTGGCCAGTCCAAAGAGGAAGGGGGAGAAGCCACCAGCAGCTGGGGGACCAAGGAGGCTGCCCCTGAAGTGGACACCTAGGCAAGATCGTAGGTGGCAGGCAAGGCTTCAGGAAGGCAGTGTCTCCCCTCAACGTTCTACAGAGCTCAGAAACTGAAGTGGGCTTAAGGGCCAGGGGCTGGAGCTCTGCCACAGAAGGCTGTGGGGGATTGGTGGGCAAGGGAAGCAGGTTCCACATGCCAGTCTGTGGAGTCCAGTTTGGAAGGAGGAGGATAGAAGGGAAAGTGGGGTGTTGAGATCGGGAACCAGGAAGTCCCAGCTCCCAGCAAAGCTCGCCCATCCCTCAGATGTGTGCAGAGGTCTGCCCATCATTCTGCCATCTCCAAATCATCCCAACAGGGACCGGCTAAAACTGTCCTGGGATCCTCCCCAGGGGTTCTAGAAATGATAACAATAGCAATTAGACAAGAAGAAGAAGTGGAAAATTTGAGTGGCCTGCCTTGCAGCCTGCTTAGAAAACCCCAGAGAAAGGGGCAGCTGGGTGGTGCAGTGGATAGAGCACTGACCTTGGAATCAGGAGGACCTGAGTTCAAATCTGACCTCAGGCACGTTACACTCACTAGCTGTGTGACCTTGGGCAAGTCACTTAACCCTGATTGCCTCACCAAAAAGCAAAAAAACAAAAACAAACCCCCCCCCAAAAAATACAAAACCAGAGAAGCAGCAAAGACAGTGACTGAGTGCTCACCACAGGCAGCAGCAGGAGGGTAAAGATGGCGGCCGCCATGATGCTTGCCTCTTGTCTTCTTGCAGCTGGACTCTAGGAGTATGGAATTCCAGACTGGAGGTGCTGGTAGATCTGACCTCTGCAGAGAAAGGGAAGGACTGTCACCCATGAAGAGAGTGAAGATGCCCTGCTTTGAGAGCAAGCCTCAGCTTTTTTGCCCAATGTACCCCTAGTCTGGCTCCAACTTCTTTCTCTAGCCACATCTTCCATAGCCCTAGTCCACACCCTCTGATCTGCCCTGGGGAAGGGGGAAGGCAGGGATTGGGGAAGTTCCTAGCCCCCTCCCTTCCCACCCCTACTCCTGCCTCCCTCCTCTGACACTGCTCTCATTCATTCATCCAGTATAATTTGAGTGCTCGTGATTGGGCACCCGCACTTGAGACCCCTTTGGAGAGTCACAACATTTTTGAGGCCTCACAACAATCCTGCTAAGGTGTGTAGGGGGCCCTACCCGACCCAATCCAACAGATATTTCCCGAGCATCTGCTAGGTGCCAGGCACTGGGACTACAGAGGCAAAAAAAAAAAAAAAGAGAGATAATCCCTGCCCTCAGGGAGCTTCCATGCTATCTGTGAAATTCACAACATCGGTAACAGCTCACAGCTCTACATATTGGATCTTATAATTCAAAACCCTTTCTTCACATCAATTCTGTGATAAACGATGCACCACAATAACATGTAACATGTTGTAACATGTAAGTAAAGTGGTCTAGTAGACAGAGTCCTGGACTTGGAGTCAGCAAGAACCGAGTTCAAATCTCGCCTCAGACATTCACCAGCTGTTACAGCCCGCACAAGTCACTTAGCCTCTGCCTGCCTCAGTTTCTTCATCTGTAAGATGGGGTAACGAAAGCACCTTACCTCCTAGGGTTGTGATGAAGAGCAAACAAGACAACACAGGTAAAGACTTTGGCTGAGCTTAAAGTACTATATTAATGCTAATTATTATAATAAGCTACAGAGAGAGTACCAGCCTGTACTGATAGGGTTTCCTTGCCCTGGATTTGTCTACACCCATGAAATCACAGGTCCATTCTCTTGTCTTTATCCTAATTTAACATGACAAAATATAGTATAATGTAAGCGATGAAGCATTGTTCTCTTCATCATCAGTTGGAACTGAGGCCCCACAAGGCCCGGGGACTTTCCTGCCCACAGTCCCCAGGCCAGGAGCGGAGCGGAAGGCTCTTGGCTCAGCACCCTCTCTGTTCTACTGGTTCTGGGCCTGGAAGAACCTTCTCTCCACTCCCCACCCCCACACCCCGGGGCTTTTCCATCCAGATCATATCCACTTGTCAAGGCCCAGGGATTAGCCCAATGCCCAGCATCCAGCCAATGCAGAATTTATGTCTGCTGCGTGAATGACTGAATGAATGAATGAGTACAGGATGGCATCGAAGAGGGAGTCAGGACATCTCAGTCAGACAAGGGGACTACAGAAGGTGGAGCTGGCCAGGATGTGTTCCCCAGAAGCAGGACCAAGGCTGGCCCTCTGTGCTAAGCCTGGACCCCCCCATCCCTCGCCGGGGTCTCTGTGGTCTCTCAGCAGCACACCCAAGGCCTGCGGGGGCATAGAGGGTGAAGGAGGAGGGAAGGAAGGGGGACGGGGGAGGCCCTTTCAGGCGTCATCACCCCAGGCCCTCCCTGGCTTCCTGGTCTAGGCAGGGGACAAACATACTTCTCTCCCTGATTCAGCTGAGATGAGACTGTTCACCTAACTGGGTCATTAAGAGGGTTTTGGTATCAAACAACAGCCTGAACAGAGTGCCCTGGCTCTGGAGTCCAAGAGCCTGCATTCAAGTCTCACCCCCAAGCTGTGAAGGTAGCAACCTGTGAAGGGGGCCAATCACATCATGTCAATGAGCCTCAGTTTTATTATCTATATAATGGAAGCAGTGCCTCACAGAGTGATTGGGAGGCTCAAATAGGACAACGTATGCAGGCAGAGCCATATCAGAACATCCTGTCTTGTTACAGGGACAACTGGGAACATCTGAGCTCTGGAAGGGACTTCTGGGTCTGGCAGGCTGCTCACTGCATGGCCGGTTTAGATGGGTGGAGAGAGGGTGGGATGGTGGGGTGGGGAGCCTTATGTGTGTGTGCAGGGGTGGGAAGGTGAGGAGAACTGCTTGTCCGGGCAGGAGGGGAAGGGCACAGCCTACTGAGGAGGTGGCTGAGGAGCCAGCTGGAGGGAGGCCCTGTGGCTGAGCCTAAGGGCAGCTGCCAGAGGAGCTGTCCACATATGCCTCTTCTGTCCCTCAGCTGCTGGACAGTGACCAGGAGCCAGGAGGAGGCAGCTTTGGGACAGCCTGCTTTGTCCCAGCAGCCTGGGCGAAGGGGTGTTGGCCTCCTCCTTGGGAAGTCCAGCCTTGGTCAGTGTTGGTCCTTAGGGCCTGGCTGGGAAATGTAATTATGAGGCTGTGGCTGGCTGGGGTTTTATTAAATTATCTGAGAGACAGAGATGGAAAAGGAGATGGAGAAGCACACAGAGGTACAGAGGGTAAGTGAGAGGGAGACACACAAAGAGGCAGAGACAGGCAGATGCAGAAGGACCCAGAAAGGCAGAGAGACAGCCTTACAGAGGAGAGACAGAGAAGGAAAGACAGAGATAGAGAAAAGGAGAGACAGACACACAGAAAGACAGTGAGAGATAAAGAAAAGGAAAGATGGAGAGAAAGAGACAGAAGGAGGAGAGACAGGAGACAAAGAGAAAGAATGAAAGGAAAAGATAAAGGGAGACAGGGAGAGTCAGGAAGAGAGGAGAAAGACACACACATACAGACAGAGAGAGGGCAGAATGAAAAACAGAGAGGAGGAAGAGAGAGAGAGAAGGGAATGAGACAGACAGAGAGAGACAGAGGAGAGAGAAAGACACAGAAGAACAGACAGAGAGAGGGAGAGAGGAGAGAGAAAGCCACAGATGAACAGACAGAAAGAGAGAGAGAGAGAGAGAGAGAGAGAGAGAGAGAGAGAGAGAGAGAGAAAGATACAGACAGACACACAGAGAGAAAGACACAGATGGACACACACACACACACACACACACACACACACACACACACACACACACAGAGTGCTGGAGCTGAGGCAAGCCGAGTGGTCTGTCCCAAGGAGACCATGGGGATGCTGTGAGGACAGAAAGCCAACTGCTTAGCCTCTCTCCCTTTCCTTTGCCTGCCGGCAGCCAGCTCCCAGCAGGACTCTCCCCAGGCCTCCTGCATCCCCACCCCTCCCACCTGGCTTCACTTGCCTTTGCGGCTCTGACCTCGGTTGTTTCCTCCTCACCGCTTCAATAGCCCATGATTCCGATACTCCCGGTGCTGGGGGCGATTCCACTCTGACTCTGGGCTCTGGGACAGGCATCATGGCCTTCCAGACAGAGCTGGCTGCAGGGTCGAGAAGCACTGCTGTGCACTGGGAGAGGGCATTTTCTCACCAGGGAGTTCCCCTCATTGTAGAAATCACAGGACCAGACCCCCCCCCCAAGAACCCCCAAATGCTGTGGGGAGAAAAGGTTTGCGGAGCCAAAGATGAATGGAAACAACCACAAAGGCCCCTTTGGCCTCCAAAGGAGCTGGCCCTTGGGGACCACTGATCAGCAGTCATTTGCACGCGAACACCAGTGCACCAATGTCAAGCCAGTCTTTTCTATTCATTCAAGCAGGCTCTGGGAGGACTTTCCTTGGCCACACTTTGTTATTTGTTAGCCCTAGTTATCGCTTTGAGAGTAGGCTGTTAGTTCTTCCAGAAGTTACAAATCCATCCCTTCCTACCTGCCATGGGGGGGGGGGCTCCGCGTCCCTTTGCCCTTCCCAAAGTGCTCCCACACCAACAAGGGGTGAAGAAAGTGCCTACTGTGGGCAGGGAGCAGGGCCTGAGGATATAGGGGAACACAAGAGTGCCCTCTGGGGGCGAACAAGCCAAACCATCCCTTACTAGAGGGACAAGGGCCCCCCAAAATGCAGGGAGACAGAGAATGTTTCTGGCAGGGGAAGCAGGGCTGCCCTCATGAAGGAATCTGGGCTGGGCTGTGAAGGATGGAAGGCCAGGGTATCACCGGTGGGGATGTGGAGGCAGAGTGCTCTGGACATGGGACGCTCTGTGTGAATGTGCAGAGATGAGAGGGAGTAGGGCCACGTCAGGAAACAGCCAGAGCCTGGTCTGGCTGGAATGCCAAGTCGGGGAGAAAATGCTGGACAAAAACCAAAGCGAATGGGAATCAGGGCCTTGGTGGCAGTCTGAAAAGTTTTCATTTTGTCTCTTAAGATGGCGAACCAACAGTTTTGTCAGCCAGGGGAAGAATGGATTAGAGACCAAAGCCTGTGGCCAAGAAGGTTGGGGAGAGGGCTGTGCTGATAGTCCAAATGAAGGGTGGCAAGGACGTGGCGAAGATGCTGCCCAGGGTGGGGGGAAGGGACAGAGAGAGGGAGAAGTGGGACGACGGCCCCTCTTAGGGACCGAGGGAGGGCCAGTACTGACCGATACCTCCAAGGCTTCTGGCCTGAGTGAGTTGGAGATGACTAGATTTGGGGAAATGAGATAGGTGTGGGATGCAGGGAGTTTGAAGTGCCTGGGAGACATCCAGGTGGAGATGTCCAGCCTCAGAGTGGACAGGCCACATGGGAGCTTGGGAGAGCCCCTGCTGAGGGCTGCAGATGGAGCTTCCAGACCCCGGGAGAACTGATGAGTCGTCGGAAGGTGGAGAGAGAGAGAGAGAAAAGGGCTAGTGTGGGGATGCCTTCCCCCGCCCCAGAGCAGGATGAGGGCAAGACAAGGGGGAATAAGCAACAGAGCAGATAGGAAGCAGGAGGACAGCAGGGGGCAGCTGGAGAAGCAGAATCCCTGGGCAGGACTAGTGCAAACAGCTGGTGCCTTTGGCAGCTCATTTCTTGAAAAGAGGCTGTCAGCCAGCAGATGGGAAGAGTGGAGAAAGGGGGTCACTGAGGTCAGAAGAGCAGCTGGCCCTCTGCACAGAGGGACAAGCACCTGGATACAGGACATTCTGACCCTGCACAGCCTCTGACACTATGTAACAGTCTCATGGTTAGAGCATGGAGTCAAGGTCACAGGTTAAACCTATGGTTAGCTCGATTACCTTTACACAGAGAAGTCTTAATCTCAGCCAAGCCTGCTGCCTTAACCCCAGAGACCCATCCATTGGGTCTATCCATCTATCTGTCCACCCACCCATCTATCATCTATCCACCCTCTCATTCATCCATTTATCCATTCACCTATCCATCTACTCACCCACCTGTTCACCTGTCTATCCATCTACTCACCCATCCATCCTTCTATGCATCCATCCCTCCTTCCATCCATCTGTCCACCCACCTATTCACCTATCCATCCAACCATCCACGCATCCACCCATCTATCCATTCACCCATCCATCCATCCATCCATCCAAAAAGTTTTTACTGAGTTACTCTGTACCAGGCCACGGAACTTACAGCTTAGAGATGAGCCCCGGACAGAAACCATACCAACATAACGCCGTTCAAGGATAATCGGTCTATCAGACATGTTGCCACTGAGCACAGGAGGAGGGAGTGTGGTCAAGAGGACCTGGGTTCAAACCCACACACCTGCTCATTTTGTGACTCTGGGCAGGTCACAGTCTCTCCGGGTCTCAGTTTCCTCACGTGTAAAATGAAGGCATGGGCTCAACAGCTGCTTTAAACCTGAGGCTGTGACGCTGTGTGTGACTGGTCCTGGGGCCCTAGGGCTGGTGGGCCGAGCGAGTCTGTCTTGAGGCAGGGCTCCCAAGAGGCTTCAAGGAAAAGACTCCCCCTCTGGGGTTTACCTGGCCCCCTCCTTCTCCCTCTGGGGGCCCAGGCCTCATCTTTAACAAAGAAGAGCGGAGGCCTGATGCTCTGTCATTATGTTGGGACTGCCCTTACCCTGCCCTCCAACCGGCAGCTATCGTACCTTAGAGAGGGGGCTAGTGGGGGTGGGGAGATGCGACCTCACTGGGTGACGTTTGAGAAGCGCCTTACATGATAGGATCTCATTCAAGCCTGCCAAGAACCCCCGTGACCATGACTCCCATTTTGTAGATGGGGAAACCTAGGACAGATTCCGGACTTGTCCAGGATCACACAGCCAGTAAGTGCTGGAGGTGAGATCTGGGGGGAAGCCTTTCTGACTCCAGGCCAATGAAGAGCCATTGAGTCACCCCCGCCCCTCATTTTACAGAGGAGGAAACTGAGGCCCAAGGGCGTTGGCCAAGTTCACACAGATGGGAAAAGCCTTTCCTGTTACCCTTAATTCTAGAGCTCCCTTTGTTGATTACGTCTAATTTCTCTCTCTCTTCTCCCTCTTCCATTCTCTCCCTCTCACATTTCTCTCTCTCTCTCTCTCTCTCTCTCTCTCTCTCTCTCTCTCTCTCTCTCTCTCTCTCTCTCTCTCTCTCCCTCTCCCCCCCTTCTCTGTCTGTCTGTCTGTCTCTGTCTCTCTCTCTCACACACACACACACATATACACACGAGCTTGTTTGTATATAATAGATTTACTCTTGTCCCTACCACCTCCACCCATTCCACAGACAGCTTCTTGAGGGCAGAGACTGTCTTTAGTCTGTCCTTTGTATTCCCAGCACTAGCACAGTGCTCAACACATAGTAGGTGCTTAATCAATGCGCTTGGCTGGCGGAGTGATTTCCTGTCAGCTCCTCTGACTCCAGAGGCGGGCATTGTCCAGCTTCCTGGTCCAGTGCTCTATCTCTCTGGCTAGGCTGCCTGTCCCACTGTGATTAATTTGAATCCTAGGTTATGCCATGATTCCTCTGCAGTCTGCCAGTGAGTCATGACCAGCAGTGCCTCTGGCCGGCTGGGCTTCAGGAGGTGGGCTGGCCAGACCCACATTCCAGTCAGAGCTGAGCTTCCACGCCCCCTTGGCACCACCGGTTTGGGAGGAAGGGTGGACTTCCCAGGCACATTAGAGGCTGGCAGATGCCAGCCCTGGTGGAAGAAGCCCATAGAGCCATCACCTCAGTGAGTCTTTCTTTCATCCCCCTGTGCCAACCATTGCCAACAGTCTGCTGAGCTTCTCCTGCTGGGCAGCTTCATTTCCAGCTCAGAATGTCCAAAGTGGCACCTGCATTCTCCCGGCCCCTGGCCTACGTCCTTAGAGTTATCCTCCACTCTTCCTCCCTCATTCCTATGTCCATGGCGTCTCTCACATCCCTTCCTCCCTCGTTCAGGCCCTCGTCAGCTGTCACCTGCATCTGTATGCCAGAAAATATTCCTGACACAGATCTGACCTTGCTGGGCCCCAGCTCAGAAAGCTGCCACGGCTCCCTAGTGTCTCCCCCAGTGGCCCCGAAGGCCCTCCACAGTGAGGCCCTGGACTACCCTCGAAGGACTTTCTCCCAAGCCAACTGCTAGTGCCTCTGGGCCCATTTCCTGAAATACAGCTTTATTTTCTTTTTCAACATTTTGGGGGAGGAGTGATTTTAGCATCCTCTCCCTTAATCTGTGCTCCTCCACCACTGCCATCTACCTTGCTAACAAATCTCCATCCAGGTGAATACCTTCCTGAGTTTGATTTCCTACTTTTTCTCTTGCTATTTTGTCCTTACCAAATTTCTCCTTGCCAAGAGACACAAAGACCCCACCATGTGCTCCAAAGGCATGGGGACGTCAGCTGGAAGGGGGCCAGAACGGCAACCTCCTTTGGTGAGACTTGGAGCCAGCGGGAGCCAGCGGGAGCCAGCGGGAGCCAGCGGACCCCTGGTCTGAATTCTGCCCCCGGTGCTGTGCGACTGGAGCAAGTCGCTTAATCTCTCTGAGACTCAGTTTCTTCATCTATAAAGTGGCCTAAACCCATGATCCTGAAACATTCCCGGTTCCATCAGTTGACCCCTGTGTGAGGTGGCGAAGGAGGGAAAGTGAGTGAATGCCGCGGAGGAACCTACCACTTGGCTAACGCCCTAAAAAGAAAGAAACGACCAAAAGAAGCAAGACTGCTAGCAATTCTCAAGAAAAAATTAGAATCCCTCAAAGAAATGAACAAGGCGAAGAATGACCCAGTGAGACACGCGATGGGTTAAAAAGGCAGAGGCCAGAATCCCGAAGAAAACCAAGCCCAGACGGCCACAGCGGCATCCCACCCGTGTTAGAATTTCCTGCCGACGTGACAAAACGGCGCCAGTTAAAGGAAGGAACAGGATGAGCATCGACGTCCTGAGAAGGAACGAAGGAAGAACTGAGTGCGACTCCAAAACGGCGGGACAGGCAACTCGAAGCTCTACGGCTGCGACACACCCACGAAGAGCACAGGCAAGACAGTCAAGAGCGCCCCAAGGAGAGCCGTGCGTGGCGTAGGCCGGGCCGGCGGGAGGAAGAACGGGAAAGCAAAGCCAGAAGCTGACTCAGCTGGGTGAAGATCTGGAAACAAGGCGGACAACGGCGGCAAAGAGGGGGGCGGACGAAGGGAGAGGAGGTCAAGATCACGCCCTTCCCCCAAAGGCTGGGGAGGATAAAACCGCTACACTTCAGGAAATCACGCCTGAAAAGCCCGTAGAACTACTGAAAACGGAGAAGTGGTTGCGCGCAGACGCCACCAGTCACAAACACCAATTGTGGCTCACTTAATCATTGGGGGATGGGAAGGGGAGGGGAATAAGCATTGATAGAATGCCTGCTTATGTGCCCAGCACTAAGCACTTTACGAACCTTATCTCTTTGGGTCCCGCCCCGGGAGTTAAGTGCTATTATTATCCCCTTTTTACAGTTGAGGAAACTGAGGCAGACAGAGGTTTAGTGACTTGCTCAGGGTCACAGACTGGTAATGTCTGAAGGAGGATTTGAACTCAGGTCCTCCTGACTGCACGGCCAGGGCTCTATCCACTGCACCACCTCTATCACAATATTCTTAATTCACCCGCAAGCAACCACCAGAAAATGTGGAAAATTTTAAATGGGATATCTCATCACAGCAGAAGAAAAAATGAAAATGGGGTTGCAACCAAAGTAAGCTTCTGAGGGGCTCATTTGGTAGCCAGATAAGGAAAGCCACAGATTTATGGTTAATTAATTAAAGCATGTTTGACAGCAGCAGCCAAAGAAATGTATCCAGAAAAAAACGCCTTGCTTAAGCCCTTAGCTCTCTGGCTGAGTCAAAATTGTATGTGCAGGGATCACTAGCAGTATTTGGTAGCACCTGTCTGTGTAAAAGACGTTGTCAAAGATGAGATATGTAATATCTCATTCAGATCAGCATCAACAGATGAACATTCATGATCAATTTTGATAGATAGAAACACTAACTTTGAACCCAAATTAAACGAAATGTTATCTCCCTACAAAGAATTCCGTTCTTCTCATTAGTAGGCCTATATTTTTAAAATTATATTCATTTGTTATTATTATATTTTTAATTTTGCCAATAGTAAATTTGTCCAAATTTGTTTTTTCTCTTCTGAATACAGACATGAGAGCCTCCTTTTCCCCTCTTGGCCCACAAAGGCTACAATATTTACTATCTGGCCCTTTGCAGACAGCTTTGGCGGCCTCAGTCTTAATCTAACATGAATCAAGAAGAAAGGCATGACATTTCTAAAAAAGCAAATGTCACAACATTTTCTACAAAAATTAGAAGTGATAACCAGAATGTTACGACATGGAGAATTTCACTCCAAAACACCTTTCCAGCAAAGCTAAGCATTATTTTAGAACACAAAAGATGATTTTAAAAGCCAGCTGATTTTGATCGGTGAATGGAGAAATGACTCAATTTCAGAGCAGCTTTTTTGGTGAGACTAACAAGAAGGACATACCTGTCGATTGAAGGGTTTTACTAGACAGATACTGGATACATGCAGGTTTCAGTGTGGTCACCACAGTGGGACTAAACATGACCATAACATTCTGTTTCAGCACAGAATGCCACAGTCGGTCTTGAAGGAAAAAGAGGGACTATCTGGGACATACTGTCTGCGTTTCCTTCTAACACAAGCAATAATTTGACAAAGAGTAGTAGAAAGATTAACCAAAATCTTTGGCTGGACTGAACTCCTCGACAACAAGAAAAAAAAAAGCCCATAGCAACAGTCTGCTCCGTTCAACTCACCAAACATTCATTAAGCCCCTCCTATTGGTCAGGCCCTGTGCTCAGGTCTGTATCTGCACGGACAAAAATAAAATGATTCCTGCCTTCAAGGACCTTCCATCCACTGGAGGGGTAAATTACAGGCCTGTTGACTTGACTGAGGAACTAGGGAACACCAACAAACAAGCAGTGAGGAATCAGGGAAGGCTGCCTGCAGGGGATAGCACCTGGACAGAAGCTTGAAGGAGGGAGAACCACATTCGAGAGGTGGACAAAGGAGAGGGGGCACACCTGGCATGGGGATTGTGGTAGAGCTGGCACAGGGGAGGGGGACACAGTGAAGCTGAGGGCGGGGCCATCAGCACCAGGCTTTTTATCCTCTGGGCGTTGAGAAGCTTTGTGGGTGTTAGAAACAGTTTAGCAGCTGAGCGGGGTGCTGGAGGCCAGGAGACCAGTCTGAGGGGGTGAGGGTC